AATTAAATATTTTGAATGATGACCAAATCGGTGATAGGGCGATAGCGTAAGAAATTTAAGTATTTCTAAACTATTTGAACATAAAAAAATCTGCTTTTTATAGTTTTGAAACGTAAAAATAAATATGACATTTTTTTACTACTTTTTTTTTTTTGAGTTACTTAATTTTCATACAGCAAATAAAACATGGATTTTAACTGTTATACTGTTTTTATATTGTATTTTAAATTAAACTTATTATACATCTTGACTCATCATGATAAAACAACGAAAAAGTGTTTAAAATGTATGCATTGTACTAATAAGCAATGAATTGGGCATGGAACTTACCTAAAAAAAATCTTATTCATTCTTAAAAAAAAAAACAAATGGAACTGCTATTATTATAAAGTTCTCCATTAATGCATTGCCTTGATACTTATCATATAAAATATTTATATGATAATATATTTTTTTTTAATTTCGTCCCAGTAAAATATAAATAAATATAGATTCAGTTGTTGAGATCAGATATTAAAGTTTAAACATTTTAATGAAAATAACATTATATTTTTTTCTATTATATATTTTTGTTTAATTTGTTATTTTATTTTACTTTTTATTTATTTCAAAGCTTTAACTATTGTATTATTATTATTAACAATTTACTTTACAAACCATAAAATAGGTCATTGTTATAAACAAAGTGTATCTTTAGAGGGGTCTTTTGAATGAGACTATACTCATACTTAATAAATGTTAAAAATTGAACTTATTGTTAAAATAGGCATGTATTGTTCACCAAGTCGAGCTGGAAATAAATAATAAATAAATAAAATAAAGATAGATAGGTCAATTGCTTGCTATTAATGGTATCTATAAATGCGGTCCAGGAATGTGCTGATGACGAGAAAACAGTCATCAGCAGCTGTGGGATGAGCTGATGCAATTGCAATTCATAGGCAAATATGTTGTATTTTTTTTATATTTCAAACATCCCCATCCGCATCATTTTCTTTTAATAAGAAAATTCTTTTATTTTATGCAGCAAATCCAAAATGCGAAGATTCAACTCAACATAATCACCAAATTTGACAAACAAATTTATAGCTAAAAGAGATGTAATCCAAAACTGTAATTAAAAAATAAATAAATATATTTTTTTAGGGGAGTTGAGATAAGATATTTCATGGTTTATGAATAATCATGGCAATATAATTTCCATTAAGTTCTTTATTATTCTAAAACTATCCACCATATCACAGTAGACGTTTTGGGATATTGATCACCATCTTCAGAACGACATTTTTAAAAAAAATATAGCTATTCACAATAATGTATGACAAATTTTATAATTATACTACAACTAATGTATAATATAATATATATATTATATATATATAATATATATTATAGAGAGAGAGAGAGAGAGGAAGAGAGAGAGAGAGAGGCGGGGTGGCCGAGCGGGCTAACGCGTTGTGCACAGCACCGCCGTTGCCTGGCAACCTCATAAATGAGATAATTTGATTAAAAATAATAACGAGTTCGCCTCCCGGTGCCGAGGGGGTCATTTAACCCATCATTACAGCATTAATCCCCGGCCTTTACCCCCGGTCCCGGAAAACCTCCGTATAGCATAAAATGCGAGGAAGGGAAGCCCAAAAACAATAATATATATATATATATATTATATATATATATATATATATATATATATATATATATATATATATATTATACGTTATATAAATTATGCCATTATTCACCAACAATTTATTTATTAGCTATTTTACTACGACAACGTTTCGACCACCACTAGGGCCATTTTCATGTCTTATTGAGTCCTCCATTAAATATCCATTATTAAGAGTTGTATTAATTTTTCAGAGAAAATAAAATTGACCTGATACTCTAAGTCAGTCTAATCAGTCCCTCCAGAAATGACGTAGGGATAACTGTTAAATATCAGGACAATTTTATTTTCTCTGAAAAATTATTACGACGCTTAATAATATATCAGGACAATTTTATTTTCTCTGAAAAATTATTACGACACTTAATAATGGATATTTAATGGCGGACTCAATAAGACTTGAAAATGGCCCTAGTGATGGTCGAAACGTTGTAATAAAATAGCTAATAAATAAAATGTTGGTGAATAATGGCATAATTTATATAACAAATATAAACCTCAAGGCACCAATTCTAGCAATTGGTGTATATATATTATATATATATATATATATATATATATATATATTATATATATATATAAATGTGTATATATATATATATATAATATATATATATATATATATATTAGTTATATAGATATTAGTTATATTAGTATATTAGTTATATTAGTATATATTAGTTACATATTATAGTTACAGAAAGCCTTCTTCATTATTCATATTTTACATATGTTTTCATTTACAATAAAAACAATGTTTGAAGATTTATAGTACTAAAAATAAGAAAATGTAATTGTAAAGATGAAATTAACATCTCTAAAAGTTAACTGTGATATGATTTGGTTTTTTTTTATTACTGATATACAATAAAATAGCTTGATGTAATTTTTATCAACTTGTTTTTTCATAAAATTTGGATTAACATATCAAAAAAAATAAAGGAATATTTTTTTATCTCTAGGTTTGCCTGTATGGTTTACCTCTAGATCAATTAATATGTTTAATTTTTATCCATGTTGTTGATTTGCAAGTTTCATTGCTATGAATTAAAAAAAAAAAAGTATTTATCTGGAGATTTTTCAATTGTGAAATATTAGTTCTAACCAAAAGATAGTTCTGAGTTTTCACCACTTCGAACAGTCCGATTACACTTGAAGTCATGAAAACCTTCTGAATCTTTGATGCACGGGCGGATCTACGGGGGGGAGGGGGGGCTTTCGGACTGAAGTCCCCCCCCCCAAAATGGTAAAACATAACCACGTTTTATGGGAAAAAAAATATTAAAAAATACCTCTTAAAGTATTATTGTTGGTTTAATTACATTTAAAAGTACTTAAGGAATCACTTAAACACCATTTCATATAGGTAGTTAGTTTCTTTCTGTTTTTCCAAATTAAATATCGTTATTTTTATGAAAAAAAAAGCTTCGGGCTGAAGACCCCCCCCCACCAAAATTAAATCCTGGATCCGCTAGTGCTTTGATGTGCTGTTTCATCTTCGTTTGTTAGAAAGTAGCACTTGCGGATCCAGGATTTTAATTTTGTGGGGGCTACAGCCCGAAAGCTGTTTTTTTCATAAAAACAACGATAATTACTATCCATAGCTTTTTTCCCAAAAAAAAGGAAGAAACTAACTAATTTTTTTTTTTCTTTAAAACATGGTCATATTTTACCATTTGGGGGGGATGGGACTTCAGCCCCAAAGCCCCCTCCCACTCCGTAGATCCGCCCGTGGAAGTAGCGCTGATCTCTTCGATACATAGATCGGAGAAAAGCTATAAAATATATCGTATTGAATGGTCAAATCAATCTTTTGTTTTTTCTTCAGTAATGTTACAGCATTTATAGTTGACCTGAAAGACTAAAGAGTCGATAATATTGACATGTTTCTCCCGGCATAACAACTTAATATATTAATATATATCTACTATAAGGCAGAGCATTTTAGATATTATCATATAACTATCAATTATTTTATGTTTTTAAAATACAGTGAATTTTAACTACGAAGTATTTAAATTGTTTCCTGAAATTGTATTTCAAATACCAAACACCAAATACTAAAAAAAAAAAGGTTTTTTTCTTTTGGACGATCAGCCTATGATGCATATGATACAGGAAACCTACTCTGTTTGGTAATTTATTTTGGCTAGGGCATTAAATATGACATATTTTAGTGATCATCCAATCTTGGTAGCAACGGAATCATCGCTACTTCATTGTTGACAAATGAAGATGAAATAGTCACATTTAAGATTCAGAAGGCTTTCATGACTTCAGATGTAATCGGAGTATTCGAAGTGGTCGGAACTCATGAAGTATGTTTTAGCCAGAACTAATTCGATTCGAAACACAATCGAAAAACCTTTAAAAACAAAGATTTTTTAAAATTTAAATTGTTTTCAAAAAACAACCCATACATGTTAAGGTTAACGATTTGGAGCATTGGCCGTCACCTCCATAGCTATAATATTTATAATCATTGTTATTACAATAATATGAAACAATTTCCTAATTATATGTTAATTATTATATATTGAGACGTTATTCTAATTTAAAAAATGTATCCTAATTTTCAATGAATATACAAAAGATATTTTAAAATAATCCACAAGTCAGTTTATTGCATTAATACAAATATATGTAATACATTATATTATTCCTAACAACGCCCTCTTAGTCATCTTAAAATTGGACAAGATCTAGTGGCAGAAATTCTGTCAAAGATTAATGTTATAATGATTATATTTCAGAAAGTAATATTGTATTGTCCGTTGTTATGATTCGTATTAGCCTTTCACACACACATAAACCGAAATAAATAATGGCCATCATAGTTTCTTACAGCTTATCACAGTTTCTCACTAAACGGACTATAATAAGTTCGTTTTCGTTCAAAACATTTGAAATAAATATGTATATATCTAATCATTAAAGTAGTGTAAACAAACAATCTAAACGTGAATTGATTAGGTATGGCTTCCCATTGAGCGATTGCCGGCTAGATGTAACAGGAAATAGCAGTTCACTGGTCCCTGTTCTTTCACCTATGATAATGGTGTTAGAGATTTCGGGACGATTTAGAATCGATTGATCGAAATGAAGAACTTGTCGAGTGAAGTATACAAGATCTAAGTTATGCCAAAAGGTGACTACATTTCTTTATGAATAATATTTAAAACTAGATTCAATAAATATTTTTAAAAAACTATGATAAGGTGGCAGAACTCTCGTCAGCCAAATATGGTGATTGGACACTGAATCGGATAGACAGACAAACCTTCGGGTAACATTGCACATACATGATAATCGATGACAGGTAGGTTTTTTATGGCAATTTATGAACATTGCAAGCGATAAGAGACGTGTCTTCGCAACTCGTGGATTTTAATTGGACAAGGAAACCAGTGATACAGTATCGGTACCGAAGGGGGTGATAGCCGGCATAATCTAAGGGATGAAAGGGGTACTCACCAAGAAGAAGGAGCTTGATGTCCTTGGCAGCCTGTATCCCGTCCTCCTTCAGGTTCTTCTCGATCTGCTTGCTCCTCGCCAGAGCGGCCCTCTCCTCGGCCGACATGGCACAACCCATCCTGCTCCGCCTCTGACAAGCTCCTAACTACAAAACAAAATAAAAACAGACGCTCCGGTCAGAGCAGGACTACCATAGGGACGAGAACTGAGGGGGTGGGAGGGGAGCCAGGGCTGCCAACCACACCCAATCAATCCCCTCCACTCCTCGCCCCCCCCCTTCTCTCCCTCGAGGTAGTAAACATACTAATTCGCCTCTATTGCTCTTTCTCTCACTCTTTCTCTCTCTATCATTTAAAATAGCTGTCATCACATTACTTTTTTTTTATAATATCCAATGAAAAATATAATACAAATCATACATTTAGAGAAGAAACACTTTATCATCATAAAATGGTGCTGCAGATACAGTATAATAAATTATAACTCAATAAATTAAAAAAAATTATCTAAAAAAAAGATAATCTAAACTAACATTGCACATACAACTAAAGAGAAGAATGAACAAAACTAAAAATTAAAAGAATAATAGATAGATAGATAGATAATTACAATGGTTTTTATTAATCAGAATAACATAACAAAGACCTTACAAATATTTCAAAAATAATTACAAATATAGTGAAAAGAATATATATATATATTATATATATATATATATCTATATATATATATATTATATATATATTTATATATAATATTACAATATCTTTTTTTTATAATTAGGACTTTATATATTATAATTTAAGATATGAATTATAGTCGGATAATAGGTCATGCAATATAAATATAAACGAATAATAGGTATTTCATGACCTATTATCCGACTATAATTCATATCTTAAGCTCTCTCTCTATATATATATATATTATATTGACATTCAAACATATCGACGGCTTGCGAAAAAGCTATTATAAATCTATATATGTATATATATATATATATATTATAAATATATATATATATATATATATATATAAATATATATATATATATATATATAATATATATATAGCTATCATCTCTTATGTTATTTATTTTAATAACCAATGACAAATATATAGTAAATCATATATTCAGAGAAAAAAAAACATTTTCATTATCATAAAAGAATGTTGCACCTTCGGTATACTAATAAATCTGTTGGACGATCTAATTCATGTTCTCAATTATTTGTAATAGCCATAAAATGAATTTTACCTAACAATTAACATGGTAAAATATTTATAATTACTTACAGTAACAATAAAAAAAGTAAACAGAAGAATAAAAATATATGTACACCAGGGCTTGAAACGGAAAAAAAAAACTTTATTTTTAAAAAGTTTCGGTATCACCGGAATTTTTACTGTCGGTAGCTTTTCTGTTATTTTGGAACTAGAACTTTTTCCATTGCAACTTTTCAAGTAACTGTTTAATAGAACTTTTATTTTAAAAAAAACTTTTATCTGAAAGTTCTGTCGATTTCGCTAAAAAGTCGATCTACTCAAACAAACGACGCATTATAATGTACAATTCACTTAAGACAAATTATAACTCTAATCTAAGCCCAATTACGGTTAATTTTTCATTTAATGGAACTTTTTTTAAGAACTTGAATAAGTACAAGTTGTACTTTTACCATAAACCTGGAACTTCATTAAAGAAAAGTTCCTTAGAACTTTTATTTTAAAAACTTTTCACAGAAACTGTTAAAATAGAACTTTTTTCCTAAATGATTTCACAGAAACTGTTAAATTTAAAAAAAAAAGTTCCATATAGGTTTCAACCCCTGCTATAAATCATATATTTAGAGTATAAATACTTTATTATCATAAAATGGTGCTGTCAATACATTATACTAATAAATCTGTTGGACGATCTAATTCATACTCTCTATAATGAATAATAGCCATAAATTGATATTTATCTAACAACTAACATACTGAAATATTTAAAATCACATACAATAACAATAAAAACAAGTAAATAGAAGTAAAGAAAAAATAGAACGAAACTAAAAATGTATTGGAGGGAATGAAATATATCAGGGGTTGAAAGTTATTTTATTTATTTATTTTTTTTGTTTTACAAATGAGTTCAACTTTAACTGTTTGAAAAAGAACTTTTATCAATAAGAGAGGAAAAGTAATAGTTTTTGTAGACCGTTAAATAAAAATTATAGCTTAAAAAGGTTTCACATTTTTAATACATATATAAATGTCATGAAAACGTACTTGTTAATCATTTACTTATTCCCTCTAAAATGAAAGTCATAAGTATAAAAAGAGTGGAAAACTAATAAATTCCAGTTTTCCTCGAAAATATTTCAATGTTAACTTAGAGATCATTATACAATGCAAAGTTTTATTTTTTCATCAGAATTGTCTTATTATAAACGTAAAAGCTTCAGTGTTTTAATGTAATACATGTTATTTTGTTCTATACCTAGTAAACATATAAAAATTAATCATCCTGCTTACTTATTAAATGCATATAAAAATTATTATAATATTTTATGTAGCTATGTACATAAACTCATAATTATATTTTTTGTTAATAGAAACGTAAAAGCATATAATCTTAAAAAAAAATTAATGAGATTTTAAAATAAAAGTTAAAAAAATAACTGTTTTGAAATGGCATGAATCAAAATGGCAAGTAAAAGTTCAACAAAAAGTTATATTTATCTCCATATATAGATAAAAGTTAAATTTTTACTTTTAATTATAAGAGCTAGGTATGTATGTGTTATTTTTTTTATTTTCTTATTACTTTCAATTACCTATATATGTAATATATAATAAGTGTAAGTGTTGCGATCGTGAAAATGTTTTAATCTGAGTTTTCAACGGAAATACACGTTTTGAAGTCCCCTGAGTCCAAATAACCAAGTCCTGAAAAATGGTCTTTATGTTTGTGTGTATGTGAACAGCTCGAAACCGAATAGTCTTACGAAACTGATATTACATATTTAAGATAGATATATGCCTTAGATGTCCTGGCAACGGGAAGTGCCACTTCATTGATATGAAACATATTTTTACAATTTTCTCAAAAACGGCTCTAACGATTTTGATTAAACTACGAAAAAAATGCAAAATATAACTTTTGAAAGAATTTAATAATTGAATAAAGGAGACAAAAATAAAAATGCTTATACCGGTCGAAAATGAATCTCCGGAAATACAAGTCAGAAGGTATACTTATAATATATTGTTGGAAAGGGGAGAATTTTAGAAAAAATAATATCTAATATAGAAAGATGTAGAAGGTAACGGAGAGTGGCGAAAAAATTATAAATAATAATTTTTGATAACTGATAATATTTAACTTAAATCACATGTTTTCAAGAAAATTAAATGAAATTTATTAACTAAATGTAAACTTTAAAAAATATTTTTACGTTCGTAGAAAGTATTTAAAATCCACCTCATCAAGGCAATAGCATTGTTAAAAAAACTATTTCATTGTACTTGTGTGAAAGAATAAGTAAAATATAAAATTATTTCATGGATGTATAAAGCATATGTTCATAACCTTAAATACATTTACTGTAGTTTAGTGATTATAGATCTGATATATTTAGATAGTTAGGTATCAAAGTTTATTCCGAAAAATTGTCATGTAACTTTTTAGAAAATTAAATTAGTGAATAATTTGATGAATTTTCCCTTCTTAAAATCCCAACATTATCATATCTTCCTCTAAAGTACCTTTATATTATTGTATATTTATTATTGCTATATATATATTAAGTATATTTATTATTGCTAGGAGTTATGGAAAAATGCTAAATATAACTTTTGGAAGAATTTGATAATAAAATAAAGGAGAAAAAAAATAAAAATACTTATCCAGGTCCAAAATGAATCTCCGGAAATAGTGGTCAGAAGGTATACGTATAATATACCGTTGGAAGCCGAGAATTTTAGAAAAAACAATATCTAATGTAGAAAGTTGTAGAAGGTAACGAAGAATGGCGAAAAAAATATTAATAATAGTGAAAGAAGAAGTGAAATATAAAAATATTTCATGGATACGTTTATAACCTTAAATATATTTACTATAGTTTAATTACTCTAGATCTGACATTATATTTAAATAATTAGGTATCGTCCGTTTATTCCAAAAAATCATTATATAACCTTTTAGAAAATTAAATTAGTAAATAATTTGAATAAATTTCACCTTAGCGATATTCTAACAGAATCTACTTACAAGTAGTGTAACAACTTTTGACCTATGACGTACAATCCATAATTAACGGATCGAACAATCCATAATCAACGAATCGTACAATCCATAATGAATGAAACGTCCAATCAATCCATAATCAACCGATGATATAATAAATAGAACTTTTGTTACTTTAATAGTATTTATGCTTTGTTAGCTGCTATATTTTAGCTTTAGCTCAGTTAAAAATGCAATTCAAAAATTGTATAATAGCCCAACATGGCCAGGAAATAATTTATACTCAAAGTTGAGCGGTAAGTGAAAATTGTGTGTTGTGCGCACCAAATATTTTTTAAGTTCTTTTATTTTATTTATTGTATATACTTTTTGATTACTATTTCGTTGTTATTTTGCTTTTGTATATTTTATATATTATATATATATATATATATATATATATATATATACAGTGTGAATGTGATCTTACCTCACAATAACCAATGTCGAAGTGACAGAATGTTGTAATATTCAAGAAATAAATAATTTTAAAAAAATTATAAGAGTTAACTGTTTCATTCAACCTACCAAAATATATACATATAGGGTGTCTCGTAAGAAAAGGAAAATATTTTAAAGGAGCTAAGAGCTACAAAAAAGTTCATATAAGTCACGTTTTTATTGCTGAATATTGAACAATAACTAAAGAAATGTTATATTTAAGTAATTAACAATTGTTTTTCTGTAAACTAGACAAAATTGATTTCAAATGGAAATAGAGTTTGTCATTGTTAAAACCAGGGTGTGAAATCGATAATTATTTTTTCCACAAAATTATATAATAATTATTAAATTTTATTTTTAATAATTATTAATTTAAAAATCATTAAAAATAAAAAATGTTA